GGAGCTCTGGGGGAAGGAGGTCATGATGGGCCCTGGGAAGGTGACGCGGACGGGGGAGGGCTGGATGAGGACGGTGGAGTCCTGGCACTGCCTGACACAGGGCTCGTTGCAGCTGTTGGCCAGCGGGGTGGGTCCGCAGGGGCGGCAGAGGTCGTAGCAGGCCATGGGTGTGGTGTGGAGGGGCCCTGGGAGGGCAGGCAAGAGAAGAGAAGAGAAGGGGAAAGCAGAGAGGGGTGTGAGGCAGCTGCGGGCGCTGGGGGTGCTGGGGGCGGTGTTGCAGGAGGGCTGGGCAGTGGGGAGGCTGGTGTGGGGCTGTGGGGAGGCGTGAGGGCTGCTGAGGCTGGGGCAGAGCGTGCTGGCCGAGAGGGGCCAGGGGAGCGGTGTGTCAGGAGCAGGAGGGGGTTGTGAGGGGCTGGAGGCTCACCTGGTTGTGGGCAGAGAAGGCAGGAGAAGGCTGGAGGAGAAGGGTGTGAGGGAGAGAGGCGCTGGGCCGGCTTTTATGCTGCTCCTGCAGGGGCGGCACAGCCTTGGCCCAACCCTGTCAGCTGGCGGCAGCTTTGAGGAGTTGGGATTTGGGAGGGTTCGATTGTTGGATGTGTAGGAGGATTGGATTGTTGGCTAAATAAACAACCTGAGCCAGGGAGAAGTGTGATGTCATCAGTGAGGTGATTTTGTGGCTCTCGTGTGCTGTGGTTTGTTGGTGCTTTTCCTTACTTGGCCACTTCTTCTTTGTGATGCATGTCCATCAGTCATTTTGTCGAACCCAGGAATGCTGAGGGAGTCATTTGATGTTCTGGGGAGGTCACTCTCCATCAACTTGGAAAGGTCATAGTCCTTTGGGGCAATTCTTGAGGGATGAAAGAGTATTCATTGCCTGGAATTGTGATCGAGATCAAGAGAGCGGACCTGGAAAACTTGAGGCTGTTCAGGCTGAATTCAGGCTGGTCAGGTTCCATTCCTATGGTCCATTTGGATTTCTGAAATTTTCATGACAAGGTACTTGGTCATTTAAACCTTATTTCTTGGCCTCCTGAAGAAATGCAAGAAACAAAGACCCAATGGGGCTCCATCCCTTTTTGCCCTGGCTGGTCTGTGACCCCAATTCCCTTATTCTACGTTCAAGCCATGAGATTTTACAGTGTATAACTTGTAAGTTGTAACATCCTGTACCTGTGAGCAAAAACTATAATTATAGTGGATGGTCAGTGGGCTCCACTCTCCTCTTCTGTCATTTTACTGATGTACCTTTGTGGAATTCTGTCATTCCATGTCCTGCCCTTGAGGCCGTGTCCATCTGACCTTGGCAGCAGCTTTGATGAGTTGGTTGTTGGGAGGATTTACATGAAATGTGGGGGTCAGGGCATTTGTCAGATGTGACCAAAGCACTGGAGAGGTGGGGTGTCATCAGTGAGATCACCCTGTGTCCCTTGGGGGCTGTGGTTTGTGGGTGAGTTGTTTAGAGGGGCCCCATTCCCCCTCAGCCCTGTCGGGCGGGTCTGGGCTGTGCAGCTGTGCCGGGTGTGAGGGGCTGCCCCTTCAATCCCATTCATTCCTTCCAGCCTCACTGCCAGCTCACTGAGCCTGTCTTTGGGCCTGGCCTTTGTCACTGGCTGTGCTCTGGTGTCAGCAAGTTCACCCTTTGGGGTCACAGGGCTTGTGCTCTGGTAAAAGACAAGCGTCCAAAGAAATTACTAGTGGATGGTCAGTGGGCTCCACTCTCCTCTTCTGTCATTTTGCAGATGTTCCTTTGTGGAATTCTGTGATTCCATGTCCTGCCCTTGAGGCTGCGTCCATCTGACCTTAATGGCAGCTTTGAGGAGTTGGTTTTTGGGAGGGTTGGATTGTTGGATGTGTGTCAGGGAGGGCTGAAGAAACAACCCGAGCCAAGGAGAGGTGTGATGTCATCAGTGAGGTGATTTTATGGCCCTCCTGTGTGGTGGGCTGAGTGGGCGAGGTGGGGTGTGTTTTCCTTTCCACAGTGCTCCCTTTCCATGTGCTCCTCTTGCAGACGTGTCCTTGTGGCAGCAACTTTGAAGGGAGAGTTGGTATTTGGGAGGTTGTGCCTGGAATGTGCTTGTGGGGGCACTTGGCAGGTGCAGACACTGCCCAGGAGAGGTGGGGTGTCCTCTGTGAGGTCACCTGATGTCACTGACGTGCTGTGGTTTTGTGGAGTTGTGTGATTCCATGTCCTGCCCTTGAGGCCGTGTTCATCTGACCTTGGTGGCAGCTTTGATGAATTGGGATTTAAGAGGATTGGACTGTTGGATGTGTGTCAGGGAGGGCTGAATAAACAAAAAGGCAAAGGAAATTGGGGGTGTCATCAGTGAGGTCACCCCGTGTCCCTCGTGTGCTGTGGTTTGTGGGGACCTGGTGAAGATGAGGCCCCAAAGCCTGCCAGGCAGAGCTGCCCCCCTGGAGCCCAGGGCAGAGTTTGCAGGGGGTTTGTCAGGTGAGCAGGGAGTGTTGCTGGGCAAGGGGAAGCCCTGCAGGAAGGTTTGCTGTGTCACTGGGTGCCCCTGTGCCCTCAGGGCCTGAGGTGCTGCAGCCAGGAATGCTGAGGGAGCTGCCTGATGTGCTGGGGAGGCCCCTCTCCTCCTCTTGCCATCAGCTGCTCCTGGTGCCAGTGCCTGGGAGCGCTTCCTGAGGGCTGAAAGAGAGCTCCTGGCTTGGTTTGTGGAGGAAGAGCAGCAGTGACTCCCTGGAGAACTGGCATGTGGTCAGACTGCCCTCATTCCCAGGGTTACAGTCCTTTGGGATGTCTCAGATTTACAGGACATTACTCTCATTGAAACCATGTTTTGTGACCTCATTAAGAAAAGCAATAAACAAATAGCTGTGTGGGTTTGGTCCCTTTTTTGCCCAGGCTGGTCTGTGACATCAGCTCACTTGTTCAGCATTCAGACAATAAGGTTTCATAACTTATAGGATGTAATTCTTAATATCTTTTTCTTGTGAGGAAAAACATATAATAACAAGAAGAATGTCAATGTACTTCTCCCTCCTCGTCTGTCCTACTCTAGGTGTTCCTGAATCATATGGAGAAACCTCAGAGCCTGAGCAGAGCAGCTGCTGGTGGATCTGCTCCAGCTGCTTTTGTGGCTGAGCTGATGTTCTGAACCTTGCACAGTGGAGGTTTGACCTCCACCATTTCCATCAGGATCACGGATTAAGTGTGAGCTCTGCAAGACTGTGGATGACACCAAGCTGAGTGTTGTGGTTGGTTGTCGAGAGGGAAGGGATGGCAGCCAGAGGGGCCTGGACAGGCTGGGAAGGAGGACCTGTGAGATCCTCATGGAATTCAACAGGGCCAAGAGCTTGTGGGTTGTGTCAGTCCCTAACAGGGCTCCAGGCTGGTGGTGGCTGGTTTGAGAGCAGCCCTGTGGAGAAGGCTTGGAGGGTATTGGTGGGTGAAGAACTGACTGGGAGCCAGGAATGTGCCCTGGCAGCCCAGAAAGCCCCCATGTGCTGGGCTCATGGCTGTGTTTGGGCAAGGGAAGAGTTTGTGTCCCATTGTGGAAGGCCCTTGTGTACCAGTCTCTGTTGATCTCTGTGAAATATTTCCTAGGGGAGAGCTGGTCCCTTTTCCACCCAGATGGCATCTGTGGCCAGAGCTCTGTGGCAAATGAAGTTCTAAGAGTCTTGGAGGAAGAAAGGATGAGGAGGCATTTCATGTTTTGCTGCAGGAGAACTTTATTGAGCGAAAGAGTGAAAGGGCAGAGAAGACAGTGGAAGGGAGAAGGTCTGAGGTGCAGTAGGGCGACCATCACCTGAGGTTCTTTGTTGTAGCAGATTTTGGCAGAGCTTGAGCTCGTGGCGTGAGGAAAGTTGTGGAGGCCCCTCAGCAGGTGGAGCAGCCCAGGCCACCCAAGCCTGAGCAACCCAGACCTCCCAGGCCGTAGCCAAAGCCACGGCCATAGCCCAGGCCGTAGCCAAAGCCACGGCCATAGCCCAGGCCGTAGCCTCCGTAGCCAAAGCCGCCGGAGATGGGCTGTCCCTGGACGTTGAGCTCCGTGCCCAGGGCAGCCCCTGCGGTGGATCCGACGAAGGAGCTCTGGGGGAAGGAGGTCATGATGGGCCCTGGGAAGGTGACGCGGACGGGGGAGGGCTGGATGAGGACGGTGGAGTCCTGGCACTGCCTGACACAGGGCTCGTTGCAGCTGTTGGCCAGCGGGGTGGGTCCGCAGGGGCGGCAGAGGTCGTAGCAGGCCATGGGTGTGGTGTGGAGGGGCCCTGGGAGGGCAGGCAAGAGAAGAGAAGAGAAGGGGAAAGCAGAGAGGGGTGTGAGGCAGCTGCGGGCGCTGGGGGTGCTGGGGGCGGTGTTGCAGGAGGGCTGGGCAGTGGGGAGGCTGGTGTGGGGCTGTGGGGAGGCGTGAGGGCTGCTGAGGCTGGGGCAGAGCGTGCTGGCCGAGAGGGGCCAGGGGAGCGGTGTGTCAGGAGCAGGAGGGGGTTGTGAGGGGCTGGAGGCTCACCTGGTTGTGGGCAGAGAAGGCAGGAGAAGGCTGGAGGAGAAGGGTGTGAGGGAGAGAGGCGCTGGGCCGGCTTTTATGCTGCTCCTGCAGGGGCGGCACAGCCTTGGCCCAACCCTGTCAGCTGGCGGCAGCTTTGAGGAGTTGGGATTTGGGAGGGTTCGATTGTTGGATGTGTAGGAGGATTGGATTGTTGGCTAAATAAACAACCTGAGCCAGGGAGAAGTGTGATGTCATCAGTGAGGTGATTTTGTGGCTCTCGTGTGCTGTGGTTTGTTGGTGCTTTTCCTTACTTGGCCACTTCTTCTTTGTGATGCATGTCCATCAGTCATTTTGTCGAACCCAGGAATGCTGAGGGAGTCATTTGATGTTCTGGGGAGGTCACTCTCCATCAACTTGGAAAGGTCATAGTCCTTTGGGGCAATTCTTGAGGGATGAAAGAGTATTCATTGCCTGGAATTGTGATCGAGATCAAGAGAGCGGACCTGGAAAACTTGAGGCTGTTCAGGCTGAATTCAGGCTGGTCAGGTTCCATTCCTATGGTCCATTTGGATTTCTGAAATTTTCATGACAAGGTACTTGGTCATTTAAACCTTATTTCTTGGCCTCCTGAAGAAATGCAAGAAACAAAGACCCAATGGGGCTCCATCCCTTTTTGCCCTGGCTGGTCTGTGACCCCAATTCCCTTATTCTACGTTCAAGCCATGAGATTTTACAGTGTATAACTTGTAAGTTGTAACATCCTGTACCTGTGAGCAAAAACTATAATTATAGTGGATGGTCAGTGGGCTCCACTCTCCTCTTCTGTCATTTTACTGATGTACCTTTGTGGAATTCTGTCATTCCATGTCCTGCCCTTGAGGCCGTGTCCATCTGACCTTGGCAGCAGCTTTGATGAGTTGGTTGTTGGGAGGATTTACATGAAATGTGGGGGTCAGGGCATTTGTCAGATGTGACCAAAGCACTGGAGAGGTGGGGTGTCATCAGTGAGATCACCCTGTGTCCCTTGGGGGCTGTGGTTTGTGGGTGAGTTGTTTAGAGGGGCCCCATTCCCCCTCAGCCCTGTCGGGCGGGTCTGGGCTGTGCAGCTGTGCCGGGTGTGAGGGGCTGCCCCTTCAATCCCATTCATTCCTTCCAGCCTCACTGCCAGCTCACTGAGCCTGTCTTTGGGCCTGGCCTTTGTCACTGGCTGTGCTCTGGTGTCAGCAAGTTCACCCTTTGGGGTCACAGGGCTTGTGCTCTGGTAAAAGACAAGCGTCCAAAGAAATTACTAGTGGATGGTCAGTGGGCTCCACTCTCCTCTTCTGTCATTTTGCAGATGTTCCTTTGTGGAATTCTGTGATTCCATGTCCTGCCCTTGAGGCTGCGTCCATCTGACCTTAATGGCAGCTTTGAGGAGTTGGTTTTTGGGAGGGTTGGATTGTTGGATGTGTGTCAGGGAGGGCTGAAGAAACAACCCGAGCCAAGGAGAGGTGTGATGTCATCAGTGAGGTGATTTTATGGCCCTCCTGTGTGGTGGGCTGAGTGGGCGAGGTGGGGTGTGTTTTCCTTTCCACAGTGCTCCCTTTCCATGTGCTCCTCTTGCAGACGTGTCCTTGTGGCAGCAACTTTGAAGGGAGAGTTGGTATTTGGGAGGTTGTGCCTGGAATGTGCTTGTGGGGGCACTTGGCAGGTGCAGACACTGCCCAGGAGAGGTGGGGTGTCCTCTGTGAGGTCACCTGATGTCACTGACGTGCTGTGGTTTTGTGGAGTTGTGTGATTCCATGTCCTGCCCTTGAGGCCGTGTTCATCTGACCTTGGTGGCAGCTTTGATGAATTGGGATTTAAGAGGATTGGACTGTTGGATGTGTGTCAGGGAGGGCTGAATAAACAAAAAGGCAAAGGAAATTGGGGGTGTCATCAGTGAGGTCACCCCGTGTCCCTCGTGTGCTGTGGTTTGTGGGGACCTGGTGAAGATGAGGCCCCAAAGCCTGCCAGGCAGAGCTGCCCCCCTGGAGCCCAGGGCAGAGTTTGCAGGGGGTTTGTCAGGTGAGCAGGGAGTGTTGCTGGGCAAGGGGAAGCCCTGCAGGAAGGTTTGCTGTGTCACTGGGTGC